CTGTGGCGAGGCCCTTAGAGTTCGGTCATCGCTGCACTTACTCTACGTACTGGGATTTTCCCAGCCATGAAACAGCACGCACTGTGGCGGACGGCGCTTCCCCGCAGCCAGTCCCTCTACCTCCCCCTGTCTGAAAAATGGGATTTCTACAGGCCCGTTCAGCAGCCACCTTCCGCCCCTCCACCACTGGGCACACTCCGCAGCCAGTTCCCCCCCCCCGTTAATCGAAAGTATGGAATTGTACATGGTATGATCCCACCACAGTGGGACCACGCACGATAGTGTGAACGCTTGCAGTTCACGAGTGCTCTAGAAGCACTACACGACAGCCACTTCGTGCCTTGTCCGTCCAGACCCTGCTTGCTCTTGAAATCCAACGGCCTTTCAAGAAACAGTCAGACCTCCCTTGCAAAAAAACCGAAGTTGCAGGCAGGCGAACAAGAGCGCTCTACTCGACTTCACCTGACGGCGCCCTGACAGCTCATGAAAGGCATTTTCAAGAGTGACAAGGCAAGAGTAGTGCAGCGACGACAACTCTTTGAAGTTTGCAAGAGTTGCATCTGACAGCTCTTGACGCGCGAAACTACGACATTGTTCACAAGTAAGTGCAGCGGTGCAGCGCTCATGAAAAAGCACATTTCATGAGTAGTGCAGCGAGGCCCATATTCGCTATACACTCAGGGTATACTCACACGGGGACCAAAAGTCTCAAAAATTTGAGGCATTTGGTTCGTTTTTTTTTAGGAATTTGGTCCCGGTCCAGAAAGGACGAAGTTGCAACCCTGACATTTTGCACTCAGGGCAAGTGTGCCCGGTCACATGGGGGAGGACCAAAAAAAAGATGGAATTTTATTTTTTTTTTCACCGCAGTATAACGCGTGGGCCTTTGCTACAATGTAAATGTTTCTGGTTGCACTTTCAGTTGTTTGGCGGGTGTCTTCTTCATCTACGATTCTCTTCAATTCGCAAACATACAAAAAAAAAAACGAAAGGTAATTTGAGACCACCTCTGGAGGTGGTCTCAAAAAGGGTCCTCCCACGGCCCCACAGGCCACAGGCCACTGACAAAAGGGTCACCGTTTGAGGGCCTCTCCAGTGTGACCCGAAAACTGACTCAAATTTAGGGATTTAGGGTTTTTTGGTTCTCCACAGCGACCAAAAGTCTCAAAAATTTGAGGCATTTGGTTTGGGATTTTTGAGGCCTTTGGTCCGCGTGTGGTCACATGGGCGGACTTCGTCCAGAAAGGACAAAGTCGCGCCCCTGACACTTTGCACTCAGGGCAAGTGTGCTCCGTCACACGGGGGAGGACCAAACAAAAAGATGGAACTCGTTTTTTTTTTGTATTTTCACGCCAGTATAACATGTGGGCCTTCGCTACAACGTAGATGCTTGTGGTCGCACTTTCAGTTTGTTTCGCGGGCTTACGTTTCTCTTCAATTCGCGAACAAAAAAAATAAAAATGAAAGGTAATTTGAGACCACGTCTGGAGGTGGTCTCAAAAAGGGTCCTCCGGTCGTGATGGATATCATTACAAAGGATATTATCGATAAGCACAAACCTTCGTTTAGACTAAATGTCAAAATCCTGAAAGACCAGGGGATCCCCTCCTGGATATCTACGCAGGTGAAAGACTGGGATAAGGCAAGAGACCTGTTCCACAGTTTGGAGGAATGGGCAGAGATTGGTATAGGAATTATGTAGGTAGCTATGGAGCTACGTAGCACCATGTTCGCGTTCGGAGGCGAACACGAACATGTTCGCCCGAACGCGAACAAGCGCCCTAAACCCTCCGAACACGAACATAAAATTTATTAAATTTTATTTTAAAAAACAAAAAAAGAAACGTTCTCAGAAAAATCTGAAAAAAAAAATATGCTATGTAAAATAACAATACAAGCAACTTTTTTCTTGGAGTCATGTTCAAATTCGTAGCCAATCATGAGTTAAAAATCAAAACCCGATTTCTTTTTATTTTTTTATTTTTAACGAAAAAAAATATGTTCGCCCGAACATGTTTGCGAGCTGTTCGCGCGAACATGAAGGGGCGCGAACACGTTCGCCGTGCTACGCAGCTATGGAGGAATTCTCTAGGATGAAAGCAGTGTCCCGGTCGTGGAAAGAAAAATCTCTTATAGCATTAATCGAAGAATCGGAAAGATCAATGGATGATGATCCCTTTGCCGAATATTACTGGTCAAGCAGGAGAACTTCTGCACTCGCAGAACTTGAACACGTAGAAATACAGCGGCAATCGGACTGGTTGGAATGGTTGAAAATAAGAGGAATCATTGGGTATGACCAGATGACAAAACTTACTTTCCGGTCTCTAATCCTTCGCCAAGTCAAACCCTTAATGAGGGAACTGAACCACCCTTTTGCACTTACAGCCCCACCAGCCACAGAGACCTCCCAAATCTGCACTTATGCAATGGATTACTTCAAAGACATAGTGACAACTAGGCACCCTTTTGACTCATTTGACACAGACCTCTCTGCATATTAATTTTTTTGGAACAGAACAAAGAATGAAGTCCCCGGAGTTCAGAGAGAACTATTAGAAGCCCCTATCATTAAGAGAGAGGCTTTGTAGGCAGCCAAACAGATGGCCTTAGGCAAATGCCCAGGTCCCGATGGTCTCCCAATTGAACTCTTTCTCAGTGGATGGGAGGCTTTTAGCCCCTTTTTTGTGTGAGATTTATAATACAATTCTAACTACGAGTAGTCTACCTAAAGGGATAGTCTGAGGCATGATCTCTCAGTCCGAAACTGGAGACCGATTTTTGTCCTAAACGTGACCAACAAACTGCTGGGGAAAATTTTAGCAATGGGACTTGCTGAGATCCTCCCTGCTTTGCTAGGGGCAGAACAGGGTGCTTTTGTTAAAGGAAGACCAACAATTTAGACCCTCGAAAATTATTGGCAAAGAAAGGCAAAACCTAGTCATCTTGATGCTTGATATGGAGAAAGCATATAGGAAGGTGGGATGGGCCTTTGTGAACACATCTCTACTAAGGTTGGGCTTTGGTCTGAATTAATGCACCTGGACCAAAGCATTATATGCAAATGCAACTGACTTAAACATGTTATTCGTTAAAATAGGACATTATATTGTGTCTTATTTCCAATGAATTCATTTTTTGACGCAACCTAAGCAATGTATGCACGCCCATCCAGGGCTTGACCACATGCGGAAGTGTACTGAGATCCATACTTGTCAAATTGTATTAATGAGATTCCGAATGGTAAAGCGTGTTGAGATTCATACTTGTTAAAGTTCATACACAAATAACGATAGGCACGCTCGCCCATTCGGAAACCCTGTGCGGAAGTGTGTTGGGATCCTTACTTGTTAAAATTCAAGTTCATAAATGTAATGAGCAAGGTGTCGTGATTGCATCTTGGTTGAATAATATAATTTCTTACGTTAGCCAAAATTTGTTCAAGCATGTTCATCCTCTCGCCTGAGACGGTTCTTTGGATGTGCGACGAGATATGGGTCAAGTCTTCTTTAGAGGACATGGGGCAGCGATAGGCACACCCATCCGGAAAACCTGTTGTGGAAGTGTGTTGGGATCCATACTTGTTCAAAAAGGTGTTTATAAATGTGATGAACAATGTGTCATAATTGAATCCTTGTTGGATAATACATCTGTTCGGGTTTAACTTATCTCTAAGTTGTGCAGGCATGTCAATCATCTCGCTCGAGACGGTTGCTTGGATGTTGGTGAGGTCCGAACTTCTTTAGAATACTTAGTTTAAGGATGGACATGCCCATCATCTCGCCCAATATGCAGAAGTGTGTTGAGATTCATACTTGTTTACAATTGCGACGGGCAAGGTGTCATGATTGTATCCTCATTTGACATGTTTGCTTTGAGCAATGTGTCATTGGAAACTTCAAGTAATGTAAAAAGTACAGTAGCAGTCGAAGTACATGCGGTTAATTTTGACATACAAGTTGTTTTTATGCAACAACACCTGTCATATTACAAAAAAACTTCAAATGTTGCTTATTTTGTGATCAAATCCGCACTTTCATTGACCATTACAAAAGGTTTGGGCACGAAAGCAAATTTCTCGGTTACATGTAATTCAAGCGGTCATAAATATGTGATTCTATGCGCACACAAGAGACGTGATGTCGTTGGTCTTTGAGTCTTTGACTCGTCGCATAATGAACCTCACACTCACACACTCGTCGAGATTTGTCTTTCATCCACACATCAATTTGTCATGTTGCACTACACACACCAATATTATTTGAGACAAAATTTAGAACAAGGAATGCAATGCGACGAATTTAATAGCACGAGAGGCGAGTGAGACCTGACTCAGATTCCAAAGTCAACACGTGATGTGAGACTGGCAGTAAGTGTTTCAAAGACAACTCAAACTCGCAACGATAAAAGAAAGCAATGTCGTTGTGAAAACGACAGTTGACCAATGTCAGGATTAACGAAATATAATCAGTGAGTAATTTAATGTTTTCAAATCAAAGTTTGTAAATGAATCGAATTCATCAAAGTCAACGGCGTTCCAAGATACATTATGCCAATTATCGTCTTATTTTCGGGATATGTTTACAAGAGAACCTGAAAGGTGGTCGATCACCGCGTTGCAACAATGTCGCAAACATCAACATAAACACCCCTCAACTAACTCCATTCACCTGTCTTGGAACTCCTTCCACCAGAACCTTTGTTGCTACCGACCTCTAACTGCTACACGACCGGCTATGTAATGTCCGATGTTCTAATACTGTACAATCAAATCGAAAACATTAAGGTAAAAACTCGAATCAGCTATAACGCGAGGAAAATAATCAAAAATTTCGAGGACATCATCTCTCAAGTTGACAGAAAGGAGAATCTCATAATCGTTATCTTTGTGGACAAGAACAAAGATAATATCGTATCGAAACAGATCCACGTTTGTAGCCCACCTTTCTACCTCGCCGTATCCTTGAAGTTGAAGTTTAGTGAAAAAGAACGAATTAAAGTCGACGGTATGTCATTTATCGCAGATGCGGTCGACCCCAACAACGCCATGTAAAAATTGACCACTTCATCATTCACTCTTCCGTCGACATGCATTTTGGTGAGAAGATCTTTTGTCGCAATTCGCAACTGGCCGTCGACGAGGATAGAGAGAACAGTGTGAGGCGGCACCAAGCCTCGTCCAATGTCGTCAAAAACCCGCAACCTGATAGGCCAAGTTGCTGCAACGAATCTTTCCCCGCTTGTTCCACGTGTTGTGGCCCACATTGCACAACATCGAGCAAAGGACACGTGGGGTAGTGAGAAACGGAGTGTCTAAGCATTGTCCTTCATTGCACGATGCTTTGCTAAGTATTGTTCATACATAGTCTGACCTCTACTTACAGATCGCGGATATGTCCCTTTCTCTGGGGGCAGAAGGGAAAGACACTCCTCAATGGCAATTGCATGCTCTTTCTTCCCGATCTCGACATCAACCCCTGATGTTTTTAACATATCCTTGTGTTTTGTAGTCAACCCGGGGGCTTTTTGGAATATGTGTTCCGGATATTTCGAGGACCTCCGTGCTCGAGATGACCCTAGCCCTGTACAACAAAAGAAAGACAAAACGGAGAATGAATACATGTTACCCAACCCGAGTCCGACGAAAATCACAATGTAAAAGAACCACATAACCCACAACAGTGTTGGAGATCGATTGCAGCCGTCAACGATTTGCGTCTCCATCTCCATTGTCGTCGCATCGTCGTTGACATCAGGCCCCAGGCTGCCCGCATAAAGGTGCCCGAACGAGTCAGACGACTCCTCGTAGTCGGCATCCTCCTCATTGCCCAGCCGTTCGTTGGCTTCAATATCGATATCCCCTTTTTCACCCCCTTCCTCTCCTTCCTCCCCTTCTTCCCCTTCTTCCCCTTCTTCCCCTCCGTCCCTCCCATGCCATTCACAAAATTCTCCCAAAACCATGTCGAATCCCACAGCCCGCTCTTCTGCCCCCATGTGTGTAGCCCCTCCTGACGGCACAATTATCCTTGCCTGTGGAGCCCTTTCAGAAGAAGTCCGGATCCGGGCGGACTTCGGCTCATCATGGTCACCGGGCTCTCCACTTACGCCCGGTGCCTCAGTCGATGTAGTCCGGATTCCGGCGGACTCCGATGCAGGTCCCTTACCGGACCTGGTTGTCGGCTGTCCAACAACGTTCTCCCCCCCATCACCGCCACTACCTTCCCTTGACATGGCCTCATGGTGAGGTGAAACCCCACCCAAAGCAGTGGTACCCTCTGCTGTCCCCTGGGGGGTCCCTTCG